TGATATTAGAATAAAAACAAACTAAGCAAAATCCAGTAGAGACCTTGCATAGTGATCGTGTGACTATGCTTTTTGAAGAAGGAAATCGTACTATTACCGTAAATATTGAGCGATAATGGATTTAATTCACAATTTTTTTTCTCCAACCCTGGAAGAACGTAATAATAACTTAAGTATATTTAGTAATGAAGTTCGTAATAATAGAAGTGCAACTACATGATTTTTAGCTAATCCTATTATGTATACTATACCAGATTTTCGTTATAAAACAATTTTTAATTTTCCAAACTTTGAAATTATAAAGTTTGAAATCATTAATGTTTAAATAAATAAATAATCCACAAAATTGAGTAATACCTTTCCTTTAATCGATACCTACACGTGATTATATTTTAACTACCAATCATATCAGCACTTTCGGTTCAGTGATTAATTTCTTTGTTAGAAAATCCAACTTTGGCGCAATACGCACATACATTAATTTAATATGTTTACGAAACTCTGCTACATATTTACATTTCGTCGTATCGCATAAAATTTTATGTACAGCGTTTAAAGCAAATCCAACATGACGGACAGCCGTCGATATTTCGTAACTAACGTTATCGTTAAAGTGAGAATATAGAATTTTTTGGGATATAAAATTCCAAATTTTAGGCGAAATTTATACAAAATGTAAAGCAAACCACGAGGGTATGTGATGGAGAAACGACAAATATTGTCAGAGAATGCAATATTCGTGTTTCCTGTCAACGAAATTTACATCTTCTTGTTTTCATACGTTGCAACTTCAATAAACATTGCGTCTATTGAGAATTCAATAAATTTATCAAGTGTAACCTTCAATTCAGTAAAAACAAAAATTCCTTTATTTTCTCGAATTTCGAAATTTTAAATTTAATATCGTTCGAAAAGCTGGTATTGTACTCCTGAACACAATACGTCACGCAATATAACACGTGGTAATTTTTTAATCGTCACAGAAACACGTGATCGAGTCACGTGTTTTCACATCTATATCATTCGTTTCGTAATTCATTTTGCATTTGGTCCATACAAAAGATTATTCCCCCTTTATTCTTTTTTATATCTTTTAAAGGAGGAGGTAATTTAACCGGAGAAAAAGTTCCTATTATCTTCGAAGCTAATTTTAGAGAAAATCGTTAAATATCAAAAGGTCGTAAAGGGATTTAGATAATAATATTGTAATCCTAAAGAAGATTTTAAAATAAGATTAAAATTTTAAGAATTTGAATTTTATTATTAATAGTTATAATAAATAAATTTTACAATTATTGAAATAATAAAAATTAAATTTTATCATAAGATTAAGAAATACAATACAATGTTACGTGAATTTGATGAAACTTTAAAAGCGCATGTACAGAAATGCTAACAATGCAGTCAGAAATTTCCCGATGCAGACGCGAGTTGTTGCGTTCTCGCAGTCCTTCAGCAACCGCTGAAGACTTCAGTCAACTGAAACGTTACCGACTTCATCTCTTTTTATCATCGAGAGGAAGATTATGGAAACATCGAACTTTTAATGATGTCACTAGTATAAGTAAGTATATTTTTAGTATATTTTTTATTTTAAATTTATTGTAGTATATTTTTAACTTAATTTATTTTAAAGATTTTCATTATAAATATTTTGCATAATTAACTCTGAAAGCTAAATAACTTTACATTCTCTCCATTTATTAAAAAGCTTCGCGGTTTTCATTTAAAAGGTATAAACCCACTTAATGCATTAAAAAATCCATTTTAAAATTTTATGTATGTTTACATTCTACATACATATCTAGCCGTAAGCGGGATAAAAAGTTTTACTCGGATTTTAAAATTATGCGGATTGGCGGAGCCGCCGGATTATTGTGTTAAAGAAAAGTAATCGAGTTTTATTGCTTTTATGAATTTTTCTATTTATATGAAATTGTGCTAAACAAGTACATAGTGTCATTGTGTATTAATGTTTTGTGCGCTTTACTGGGTGGGTTTATTTTCACAATGTAACATAAATAGATTTTCCAAGAAAGGAGACTTAAACTATTATCAATAGTAAACATAACGCTCTAATCGCCTCTCAACATGATATATTACACGTTTGGTTAATTGTACACTTTAGAATTAGGAGACGATAAATTTAATTTTATTATCATCATATACAGGGTTTTTTGTTGAGAACCGCTGATACCGCTGTCAATTCAGTTGACTTGGTTACTTAGCAGCGGACATATCATTTAACAGTTAATAAACAATATCATTTAACGTCAAAATTAGACCTATTACAAATCAAAAAGTACTTATTGTTTATGGAGCTGCCGGAGAAAATGTTCCACGTGCAAGAGATCTGTATTTGAAACGATTTCCAAATCGACAGATGCCTTCAGTAAACATTATTCTTCGGTTAGTCCAGCGGGGAGAGAGACAACCTAAGAAAGGTTTTGGTGGCGGTAGACCAAACAGATATGCAGTGAATGTAGAAGTGAAGTTCTAGAAATTGTTGATGCAGATCTAAGTACTAGTACTCGTCAAATTTCTCACCAACTCGAAGTTTCCCAGAACTTTGTTTGGCGTACATTGAAAAGTAATGGTTTATACCCCAACCATTTGCAAAAGGTGCAAGAGCTGATTATCCTTTGCGATGGATATTTATAATAATTGTTTTAGAGATTTTGTAATTTTGCATTTAAAACATTATTGTTAGACATTTCATAAATTAACATTTATTATTTCTTTCAACATATTACGAATTATCTAAAATAACAAAACAACTGAAATAATAAATTGTCTAGTTTTACAACTCCTTCAAAAATGAGGATGGCGTTGACAAGTATTTTAATTGTTCTTAACTGAATATCAGCGGTTCTCAAAAATGGACATTAAATTATTTAAAAAATTAACATGCGATATCTATGTAACTATTAGGTTTTTAACAAAACATTAATAAGAAAATCTTTTCAGTTTTACCTCTAGTATCTACCCTTTTAGTCTGCTCCGTATGTTATAAATCACCCTGTATATTACCTACGAGATTATTGGCTCTATTAAATATATTATCTCAAAAAGTAAAAGGATTTTTTAAGGAATTGTAGTTAATTTTCGTAAATAAATCATAGGAATTTATAAAATTTACTTAAAATGATGTTTGTTTCATTATTTGAATACTTCCGTAACTTTTTAAGATTTTAAGTAACGCTTTCTGATAGTCACAAATTATAACCAAATTCAATGTCATCAAAACCTGCACAATAATACCAAACACTACAAAATATCCACTTAAAAACTCGACACGAACGGAGGAAAAAGCGGAATATTATGCGATCAGGCGTCACGCCTTGCTGGTAAAATTTGAACATCTGCAACAAATCTAATATGTCATACCTCAGTTTGAATGTTATGTCCCTAAATGCTTGATGATTAGTGATTAGGTATAATAGGCAATCATTTATCACTTTTTTCCTCAAATATTATCCATTATTCATCTAATAGCAAACAACTCAACAGCAAAACTAAACAACTCAAGCCACTGCATCTTTCGTTACCAACACATTCATAAAAATCCACTTAGATCGTGGCTATAACAAATGTGCTTTCAGATTGAGGTTGATAACTCATGATTACCTATGACTGAAAATACAAGCTAACACTCATTCAGAACATATTCTTGGTAATAAGATCACTTTGCCAATTCTACATAGGTGTCCCAAAATTCTGTGGACATAAAAATCGGTCTGGCTTAGGCGTTGATGGGTTTGAAAAAATTCGGGATTGGACAAATACTCGAGCTGACCAAATAATTGGCAATAAAGAAAGGCTAAAATGTTATTCAAATATGAGAAGATGGAATCCAATAACTTCTGACGAAATGAAAACGTTCCTGGGATTATACATTGTGATGTCGTTAATTTAAAAGTTATTGGAGTAAATCTGCAATTTATCATCATCCATTGTTTGGAAATAATATGGCGAGGAACCATTTTGAGAACATACTAAGATGTTTATGTTTCTATAAAGAAACAGATGATACTTCTTATAAAATGGACAAAATTTACCAAGTACTGAATCATATTTTACATAATATACAAAGTTTATATTATCCGGATGAAAATCTATCATTAGACGAAGCACTACTTTTGTAGAGAGGACGGTTGACTTTATATTATGTAAACGTTACCCTAAAAATAACTCAACAGAAAAAGTGGGTATCTTAACTTTAATCGTAACCCTCAATCTTGTAAATTTTATGGCATAAACGTTCAATTAAACATTTCCGAGAAATATTAATCTATATTTACCGGAAATTACACTCATCAACCATAGCCTTGATATTAATTCGATTTTAGCGAAACTGAAATTTATTTTCAGTAATGTCGGTTTAATTTCTTTTAACACCATTTAATAATACAAATTTTTCGTTCCTGCCGACTACGATGCATCAACCCGTCCGAAGAACTCAATTTCTTTTAAATATGATTTGCTCATAGTCCCCCCAAGATTTTTAACTTCCGCTTAATGCAAAACAGTTAATGCAAACAATAATCTTTTCAAAACAAATTTTTTAGAGTAACTTGAAAATTAATAAAAATACAATTTTTAAAGTATTTATTTTAATTTCAGATAATCCACAATGGATATAAATTCGTGTTTGGATAATTATGAGAATTTCACCAACATCAACAATAATACACGTAAGTTGTGTTTAATGTGTTTTACATCATTTTTTATTCGCAACATAAACTCGAATTTAATTCAAATAGTTAAGTGTAAACAAACAATTTACAATGTAGAGATTTTGAAGGTCTAAGAAAATTTATGAAATTAGGTGTAAGTAGTATTAAGCTAAGATAAGGTTTAGACAAGGTGATTCAATTAAGTGGTAATAACTTTAACTGATTCTATAATAACTATAATGCAGAACAATTAAGGAAATATTCTGATAGGTACTTAAATAACTTTAATAATTAATATTAGAAAGAAATTAGAATTTAATGTTTAAAAAAATCTGAGCAGGCTCTCTTATTTGTAACCATAGATGTTCTATTATTTTATGTCATTTTTTTGAAAATTAAAGAAGTCATTCCAAAGTATTGAAACTAATTTGTGAAGAAAAGTATTTCAAAATTTTTTGTGAATCCTCGTCAGGATGTCTACTCCGAGTAGAAGAAGTAAACGAACAGCTCAACTTATTTTAGCCGCCATCACTGATATGGCAGAAAATAACGGATCTTCAATACAAGCTATATGTGATCACATCAGCGAGCAATACGCTGTTCCTGAACGAGACTTTAAAAAATATGTACAAACTGCTATAGAAAAAGGAGTTGCATTCGGAGCTATTAAAAAAACGAGGGGACGGAAATATTTGATTGGGGATGTCTTAGAAAAAATACGATCGGGTCGAAGAAGAAGCAGAACTAGGAGTCGAAAAAGAAGGAGAAGAAGAAGGTCAAGGAGAAGGAGAAGAAGAATTTAGTGAAAAAGATTAATTACTTGTGGCCGTTTTTTTAAAATATTTTTTGAAGTTCTTTAAATAAATTGTAAATTATCATGAGTAGAAAAAAAATTAAATAAATGATGTAACACTGTTATGTTTTTTTTTTTAGTATTTTGTAACGCAATATTTGATGGAATATTATGCTGGGCACCGACATTGGCTGGAACATCAGCAAATCAATCATGTCCTAGTCAAAAAGGGTTAGACTCAAGTCGTAAGCAAAAATAGTTATTTACGTTACAAATCCAGTAGGTGACTTGTAACAGTACGAGTTAGATATTACGGACGAGGCGACGAAGAATCTGAAATATTTAAATCAGTACTGTTACAAAATCTACCGGATTTTAAATAACATTTTATTTCATACTGCCGAGTCCGGTTAAACAGCAATTACGAATGCAACACTTACCAGCCTTGTGATGTTATAGCTCACTTACCGGACTTTTATTGATGAAGTAAACATCAATATACCGGACAGTATGAAATAAATACAAAAAAAAGCTTGAAATAGACACTTTCCATTTCACTTTTAGAATTGGCTTTTCGGACGTGTTTGATAAATGGGAAATGGGAATCAAATAATTTCACAAAGGACACCTCAAACGGTTACACGAACTATGAAAATTGTGTACCACCTCATGGTCGAGATCTTTTTAAGATGTGTCGAGAGATGGATGAATGCATAGAGGTTAATTTAGTTTATTATGTTAATTAATAAAATTAAAACTTATTTATTTTAGATTATCGAAAAAACTAGAATAATTGAGTTTGTTGGATTATTTTTATCGGTTTTTTCACTGGTTATTTCACTGATTATTTTCTACAGATACAGAGTGTTAAGGAATAATCGTACTACAATACATAAAAATTTATTTTTAGCCACAACTATACAAATGACTACGAGACTATGTTTCTATATTGATCATAGTTTTGGGATGAAAGGAATTAAGGAAACGGTAAGTTAATTTAATACCTACTTACTACTGAAGAAATTTGAACAAAAAAGTAAATTAAATGTTAGTTAACGCATCGTAATAGTATTCAATTAAGTTTAGTATTGTAAACATGACGGAACAATTTTATCTTTATAAAACCAAGAATTTAAAACTTTAATAACTCTAGAGCCTTTCTGTACACCTTTTTTCTCCATAACGGTGTGTAACACAATAACAAGCATATAACCCTTAAGGCTCTATTTGGATTTTATATTACACGTAAGTGGTTCATTAAAATTCTGTCATTTTTTGTATAGAATTAAATTCTCTATCTGACAATGAGTAGGTTTTTCCTTTCAAATTTTTTGGGGTTTTAAAAACGAATAATATATGTTAAAAATAGTAATTAACTTTTTGAACTGTATAACATCGAGCGATATAACTAATGGTGTTCCATTTGGGAATAACTGAAGTGTTATTAAACTTTAATATTATAATTAAACTTTAATATTAGTTTAATACAGTTATTACTATTTCATCAATATTGCCTCTATTTCGATAATAATTGATTGGGTTAGGTCGAAAAAAATGCGTCATTTGATAAATTGTTAACTATTTCTATCCATACATAGAAACCGACAATAAAAAATTGCTCAGTTGTTTATAAGCATCCACGAAGCTTGTGCAGTAATTAATGGATAAAGTTTGGCATTTATTTATTACTTGCAATAACTGATTATTATTAGTGGTGATATCTCCTAAATTAATTCTATCTTTTTCTATACAGCCCTTTTCAGCAAGATTAAGAGTGTGGGCTACACAGAAATGGTTTTGTTTATTTAAAATTTCGCTAACTGCTTTTTTCATTGAATCTGCATTGTCTGACTATAGTCACTATTTTAGAACTCATCTGCCACTCGTTCAATATTTCTTGAATAACATTTGCTATATTTTCAGCTGTATGATTATCTTGTTTTGCAGTTTATAATCGGTATTTAAGATTTTGGTGTATTTACAGAAACCTTTATTTTCGACAATTTGTAAAGGTTTGTAATTCTGAACTATCATTTGAATCAACGCATGATCTCCATTTTTCTCTCGCAATCACATACACTAAAACACAAGTTACTTTTAAAAATCTCAATACTTAATTGCGTTCGATTCTCATGTATTTCTGTATGCTGACTTGTAACTTGAATAAAATCCGGTTCGATCGACTCATCCATAGGCACCGTTCCACTGGTGGTCACGCAAAGCGTAAACCCAACTCGAGACTCGAACAGTCTAACTCGAATTGACTTGAAATAACTTCAACTCGAGTTAACCTGATTTGATAAATCGAGTTGACCCATCTCTAATTTCAACATAATGAATGTCCGGCATATTAATCTAGAATTGTCCACAATTATTTAAGTTAATTATTTTGGAAAATATTAAAGTCTGGTTCAACATTAATCCTACAATGCAAGAGGATATCACACAAAGGGTTAGAAAGGTTGTAGCTGATCTCCCAAGGACAGAAGTCGAAGCTTGGATTTATAGTACACTGGATTAAACGCCCCTGGTTATAAAAAGATATTATATTTCAATATTAGATGTAAAAAATATTAAGTATTATGTAGATATGTATTATGTTCATTAAGGAATTTCATTCATTGAGAAGAATAATAATAAGTCACATTCTCAACCAAGCTGCCACATAATTTGATACCACATTAAAAAATTATTCTGATTCGTCACACGTCCTTATTTGGTTCTTTGTCTTCATGAACACTTTTTAAACTGGGTAGTGTTTTGATGAAAGAATAAGACGGATAGTTTCTTTGGAAAATGGTATCGTTGATTTTATTGATACTGAACGTAGACTTGTCAAAAGAGAGTCAAAACTCAACAGCAATATGTATATAATATTTCTATTATGTTCAAAACTGTTTATTTCTGGTATCAGTTGATAGCTGCCCAATTAGTAACAGGGCAGGTGAAATATCACTAAAATTTTATACATTTAAGGTTTTGGTAAAATTTTCTAACCGAATTTCCAATATTAGCATTTCCAAATTCAGCTTTTAGAACATCTAAAAGATACATCAACTGTCTGAATTTAGATTTTATCCTTGATCACATGCTTTGTTTCATAAATTAACCTGATACAATATCGAGGAGAGGATGGATTTTGACACAACTTTTTGCCTTCTATACTTCTTAATCTAAGTGGAACAAAGGAGCTTTGAAAAACTTCTGTTTGAATTGATTTGTTGCGATCTATCACAACCCCATTTATGAATCCGTTCTAAAGTGTGGTCCAGAATCCAGTTTCACATAAGATCAGATACACTAATTTTTAGATAATGCAATTTTTGAACATCTTATAAATCATTATTGGATTCAACCATTAAGGGGAGATTATCGGAAATCACTCCGGTTGTTGTAATTACCAGAAAATTTAAGTAAGTCGTACTTGAGTAAATTGGAATTACGAATACTTGATTAAAAATTAAGACATCGAAGAATTTGCCCCGTTTAGTGAAATCATTTAAAATTGGAATTAAAATATTGATTTCTTTCATACTTAGGTTTATTTTTTAACGAATGCTGCAACTTAAATTTATTCCAATTAAAACTCAAGCTAACCTACCACAAATATTGCCTTTGTATTCACGTGTGGCGCACATTCTGGATAACGACCTAAAATTAAGCCGTACAAACATGTTAATTTTGATTGTTAATATTAAATTTAAAGGATCCGGCCCAAATATTTACCAAGATTAATATTTCAATTCAGATTAATTAAATTTTAACGTAATCCTTACTTGAAGAGTATTTTATGATCGATATTAAGTTAGAAAAAAAGAAATTTTGATTCATCGCAAATATTTCTCGCTAAAAAATATCCTCGTACCAATAACCTTTACCTTTAGATAACTCTTAATACAATTTTAATTACTTCACTCGATGAAAAGATAAAGTTTCAATTCACCCTTAATACAAAATCTTTACGTGGAGATATACAGATATTAAATTTCAATTTCCAATTTCATTTTCTTAATGACATTTCAATAAAAAAAAAATAATTTTATTTTTTTAGGAATATCTTTGCGAAGCGTGCATAATTTTATTGGAATACACCAAAACAGCAATGTTTATGTGGATGTTTATAGAAGGTCTTTATCTGCATAACGTTATAACGGTAGCGGTGTTTCAAGAGCACTTTTACATAAAACTCTACTTTTATTTGGGATGGGGTGTTCCATTATTTATTGTAACCATTTGGACTTTAGTTATGTTATTTTCTGTTGTTAATACTGGGTAAGTAAATTTTATACTATTATTTTATACGACAAATAAATTTTGACAAAGTCAATTTGATTGAAACGAAATGTTTTCTCCCCAATTTATACCAGCCGTTTTACTATTACTAATATCAAAACGGATAAATATCCCTTTGGGTTGCTTTCAAGTTATTTGCTATGGTTTGTGTTTAATCAATTTAATGGCTTTTTATATAGCAACACTTTTATGGACCGTATTAATTGCGATTTTAATTTTTCCATTAGCAATTTTACGAAAATTATTATGTGTGTATCATTTTTGAAATAATAATAAATTTTAAATCCAATTTCTTTTTCGTTTTTTTTATAAAAGATTTTTGTCTTACAGATGTTGGTTCCTTTACAACTTTATGCCCCATTATTGGATACTCGAAGGTCCGCGATACACGGTGATCATCGTAAGTAGCTTTTCAGAGGGTTTTTCAAGTTTATAATACGAACTTTGAACCGATTCCAGCTCAATATGATTTTCCTATTGAATATTATCCGCGTTCTAGTGGTGAAGTTGAGGAAAAGCAAAACTAGCGAAATCGTACAAGTTCGGTAAGATCATGAGATTCAAATATCCGTTAAACTTTTTCAATTACATTTATCGTTTATGGTTTTAGAAAAGCGGTTAGAGCTGCTATTTTTCTTTTACCTTTAATGGGGATTGCGAACATTCTATTTATAGTCGATTACAAACTCTTTAAAAAAGCTTGGAAATTCGCGTTGTGGTGCTACACAACATATTTTATTACTACGTTTCAAGGGTTTTTTGTTGCTGTGCTTTATTGCTTTTTAAACGAAGAAGTAAGTTTTAAGTTTTGCTTTGTTCTTAATAAAATTATTTCATTTTTTTAGGTAAGAACAGCAGTTAGTCACAGCTTTTCAATTTATATGATGTTAAGGAAGGACAAAAAATATGCCAATCGAGGATCAGTTGTGGATACGAATTTAACTGCATTAGGATATTCAGATCAGTAGAGTAATATCAATAAAAACGTAGTAAAAATATACGTAGTCAATTAAAAGATAATAAAATGTAGAAATTAATGAAGCTTCGTTAATTTAAAATTGTGCACATTTCAAACTATTGAAATATAATAAGAAAAGTAATATATTTACAAAAAATGTATTTAATGGCATTTACTTATTTATTGCGGACTGTGATTTTAAGATTATGTTGCAAGATATAATAATAAAGACATTCCCCAAAAAAATTGTTCCACAGCATATATTTTTTGTGTTGTTACTTGCCTCCGCAACAACATTTCCTAAAACTGTGAAGATCCTTTATTTCTGGGTATTGGAAAATCCTTAGCAATACCTGGTTATTTTTGAAAATAGAATAACAGCACAACTTTAAAAATCCGAAATCTTTAAGAATCTTTAAATGTTATGGAGACGATTAAGAAGCCCCTAAATAGCTTTTGAATATGACAAAAAGATTAATTTCAATTATTATCAATTGAAAAGCGGTAAAAATCAATGTTTGACCATAAAAAGAACGATTCAACAGTATAGGTGAACATCATCACAGATCTTAATAACACTTCTCCAAAAATAAACTTTAGTATTAGCTGAAAAAATGAGATATATAATGGCATCATCAAAAATGTAACCAAAAGTAGTCAAAATGTATTTAAATATTTTGACAAGTAAGCAATTTTAAATAGATAATGAAGGATTACTTAATTCAACTAGAAAGAGGAACTTCTCGCAAACCGGTTTTTCCGAGAAAATTGCAAGTCACATCAACAATTAATATTATATACAATTAAAGAAACAGTTTAGGGATTTACGAGCCAATCCGATCGATTAGACCAACTATGATTTGTTAAAGTTCATATATTATCAAAAGACAGAAACTTCAGATGACAAAACCTGGCAAGAAAACGAACCTTGAGAGTAGGCACTTTAATAATAGAATATAGAAAAAAAGCACAGAGAGATGTAGAAGTTTAAAAAGTTTAAAAACGTTCTTTTCTAGTCGGGCAGTCTTTTATAACAAAAAAAAAATTATGACATTTTTAGGAGTTAAATTAAAAATCTGATTTATTTTACTTATATAATAAGACAAACCTCCAATCTTTTTCGATTTCATTAAAATTATTAAACTACATCATATTATGGTGAATATATTTTAAAATAAGCGGAATTCCTCCTTCCGCTTCGAGTAATAGTGCCTTATGGTCGAACGTTAACCGAGTTGGAGTGGTACTCGACTTGAGGATTTCAAAATTCTTGACTATACTTATTAAGCCCATCTTTCCGCTGAGATGGGCGAATCGTTCTCCTAGATAACACAACAACAATATTCTTAGAAATCCTTCAAATGCTTAAAAGAAAAGATTATGTACTATATTATCTGTTCGTACCAATGCAATTTCTTGGTCCACTTCCAAATGGTAAATAAGTATAAGGATTTATTCCACCCTTACTTTCATCGTTAAATCTTTCCGGGTCGAAAACATCCGGGTTTTTATAATAATTAGCATCGGAATGTAACCCCGCAATCGGAATAATAACGTGAACCCCTGCATCTATTTTTAATTTGTAAGGTTCTAACAAACAGTCTTCTTTACATTCTCTAACCAAAAAGGGTGCTTGGGTATATTTCCGTAATGTTTCTTTAAAACAACAAGATTAATGAATAAAATGTATAAAATAAACATGAAAAAAAAAGGAATTTTAAATCAGGGAATTTTGAATTTTAAATCCACCGGAAATACGAATTTTAAATCCACAGGGAGTTTTTAATTTAAATAGATTACCATTAAAAACCATGTCTAGGTATTTCATGTTCCGTATAACATCGTAAGTTAATTCGCCGAATTTTTCTTCGGTTTCGTTAATTTCTTGACGTAAAGTATTTTGGACATTTACATTCATGGCTAATTCATATAAAGCGAAAGACATCGTTGAACTCGTTGTTTCAAATCCAGCTGAGAAAAATGATACAGCTTGAGAAGATATTGTTATACCATCTAAAAAATAAATAAATTATAATCCTTTATAGAACATATTTGTTATAACTTACCGAATTTAATTGAATTCTCATCTTTTTGATTTTTCAACTCAATTAAAATATCAATTAAATCATTTCTTTTAATATTTCCCTTTTCGCGTTCTTGCAAAACATCCCAAAATAATCGATGTAAATACATTGTAGCTTCACGATCCAAAAAACTGAATTTAAATATTTTAACTATAGCTGGTGCTAAAAAGTAACAAAAAGCACTCATTTTTCTTAATAAACTCTTTTCGAAAAGCTTCTTTCCAACCGCGCTCAATGTTGCTTCTTTTTCATCATTGTCAAAACTTGTTGGTTTTAAACCGAAAGTACAAGAAGAAATAACATCCGTGGTATATTTCCCGATTAAATCTTTCACATCAACAGTTTTTTGTAAAGTTTTTTTCTCTAAATATTGCACCATAGAATCGGAACATTCTCTCATTAATGGTACCATTAATTTCATTTTACCCGATGTAAAAATGGGCGATAATTTCATTCTTAACGCTTTCCATTCGGGGTTTTTAACAGCAAAAACGCTGCTGCAAGTTAAAGGGTCCGCTTTTTTATCATTTGTGAATCCTCGGTCAGAAAATTTTGTAAAATTTTTTATTAAAACGTTCTTTATCGTTTCGGGATCGCGTAGAACCAAAGCTGGTTTGTGGAGTAAATGAATTCCAAAATACGGTTGATTTTGGTATTTTTTATAAAGTGTTGATAAATATTGGGGTACTGTTTGATTGGAAATTAATATATCGGGGATGTTTCCTAAGAGGGGATATGAATGTTCGTGTGGAATATCTTTTAATTTCCAATAATTCGTGGTAAATTTTTTTAAAAAATATATTAATATTATTAATAAAAGAATTGTTGCTAAGAATTCGTTTACTTGAAAAGTTGGAGGCATCTAAAATAATTTTATTTAAAATTTAATAAATAATTATAATTAGACTTACCTTAATTCAAACTAAAAATTTATTTATTTTTCTTAAGGTAAGTTTTTATTCTTATAAACTTTGAACTTGTGTTCTTCACATTCAGAGTCTTTTAGGTACAGAAGCACTCTCGCAGGTGCACGTGTACCTCTCGTTCAGACTGCGCGGTCAGAAGTGGCTCAGTCCTCTTTTTATGTTGGATTTTTTTTTCGTGCGTGTTGTCCCTCTCCGAAAAGTTCCGGTTTTAATTTGCCCCAACCAAACCCCATTAAAACGTAATGCGAATTAAGTACTTTAAAATTAATTATTCCGCAAAGCGTTAATGTGAACTCAATGTAGCAACAAACATAACACGTTAAAATTACCATATAATTCTAACAACAACATATTATATCGTTATCGTTGTCAAAAACTTGTTGTTTTTTTGCGCGGCTTTTTTTGATATACTTTTAATTTATACAAACCCTGTTTTTTTCTACCTGATTCTTGTTCAGGATCCAGGAGCGTCTTTAGACGAAACGTGTTCTCCCAACGTCGTCGTCTACTCTCCCAATAACATTGACCTTACAAATTCATTACGTTGTGTAATTCGATGAGGAACGAACTTATTTAAACTGAGACAGCGTTTTAAATGACGATTACGAACAATGTAAACGTTTTATAAAGAGATGTTAATAAATTTTTGTTGTACAATTTATCAATTTTCTTTATCTTTGATAATATTAAACAAGCATTAAGCATTAAAGATAATGAAGAAGCATTAAACAAGTTTTTTTTCCAGTAAAATTATAATTAAGATTAGACATAATTGAAAAAAGCTGTTCAATAAACTATAAAGTAATGTAATCTGTAACTAATAACCTGTCATTAATAATTCCTATCGTTACCTATTGTACGATTGGTTCAATATCTCACAAATCAATTATGACAATTCATAATTAATAACCTAAACTTTTATGGCAGTTTTCAGAAAAAAAGTTAATACGAAAATTGGAGCACAAACTTAATGTGCAATAGGACTTTTATAAATTAAAAACAGACAATAATAATAGAGCTGCACTAAAGCGGCGAATATGTTACTGATTCATCAATTGTATGATTAATGAAGATTAACTGTAGCTCTTGAAACTAAGCTTATATTTGTTGGAGCTCTTGTGAAAAGTCAAGTTGATTTAGGTATATAAGCTGTAATGAAATGTTGCGTGACGAGATTAATAGTAAGTGGAAAATTTCCTGTCTATGGTGTCACTTCCTCAATGTGCGTTTTTACCAAAAGTGGTGGATTTAGCGATAGCGGTAGTTTGTTGTTTTAGCGATAACCTCAAAATCATTGATTTAAACTTACAAAGTTCAATACTTTATTGACAACAGATTCAGTATCTAGTCAAAATCTAATCCCAATACACCCACATCGACCACTGTTTTGTTATGCACCAGGCCGTAATTCATAAATTAGCTTGACTAGCACACTTTAACGTGTCCCTGTGCATTTTTTAGGCACACTTTTACTAATCTGATAAACTATCTAGGGGATGGTTACCATGGTTACAACGGTTTTAAGCGCTCCCATTGGCTAAGAACTGGATTTATCTATGGGATAAATTTATCAAGAGGTGGTAAAAGTGGGCCGTAGACCAATACTTTAATCCAGACATCCCAGACATACAATGGCATGGAAGACAAAGTCTTGGGGATGACTTAGGTTGGTCCAATCCAACAATCAGTTTTGGATTTGGTCTTTTATACTTCTATTATATCAACTTCTGGCTGATGATAGATTAGCAGAATGGTGGATGAGTTTTCGCTGATGATTGACTCGCTGACAGCTGATTGGTAATAGTAAGCGTTTTATCGCTTAAATAGTCGCAAATATTAACAAATAAATTGTATTATCCCTCAGTTTTAGTTCACATTTCAATTACTTTCGCATTATCTTAACCTTAAACAGAAAATTTATGTCGTGTAGTTTAACGAGAGATTTCATACAGTTAATGCAATTTTATTATTATTCTGCCTTTCTTAATAGAGGGGCCGTTAAATCAGTATTCTTATCTACAGCTACTTGAAAGGTTCAGGGAAGAATACTTAGACGACATGCCGCTGATGAAAAGATAGGCAATTTAGTTCCAACACGATGGATGCCCTGCTCCTTCTACAGCAGGCGTAGCTGAATGATTAAATTTAATATTTCGAGAAAAGATTATATCTAGAAATGGTCCAATTGCATGGCCTCCAAGGTCTCCCGACCTTACAATATTAGATTTTTTTTCGTGGTGGCCTTAAACAACTAGTTTTCGCTCAACCAATATCGACCAATCGAGAAATACTAAAAGAACGGATAACAAATATTATACGACAAATATGCATCGAAAAAATTCAGAAAAGCTCTCCTCCACATTTCCTCCCACATCTTCCTTCTATCCACCTTATCAAACGCCACCTTCAGGTCTATAAGGCATACAACTTTCCTCCCTTCTTGTTCAACTCCCTATCTAGCCAGGTGTTTCAATATATATATATATATATATATATTGTCAATTGCCCCTCTTCCCTTCCTGAATCCCGCCTGCCCATCCTCTTCCAATCTCCCCAGCGGTACTTTTGCATATATTTTAAATATAGTGTCCAACATGATGATACCTCTATAATTGCCCACCACCCTTTTACTCCCCTTTTTATACAGTGGGCATATTATTCCCATTCTCCACCTGTACGGAAACCCTTCCCCTCTCCATACGCCGTTTATTACCTTCCATAGCTTCTTCCTCGCTGTCTCCGTCGCCTCCAACCATGCCTCATTCTGGATCTCGTCCTCTCCTGGCGCTTCCCCTCTTCAGTCCCCTCAACACTGCTTCCACTTCTTCCAGTGTCTCCTTGCATCTCTTTTCCACCCCTCCCAACAATCCTCTCTTCCTTACTGGTCGTCTTTAAGTACCTCCATTGTCCATACTTATAGCTGATTGGTAGTTTACCTGCTTATTAACTGGCTTATTACTGATTAGCTGGAAAGCTTTGGCATGATTCTTTCGGTAGTGATCTTCAGATAAATAGCGCCGTTAAGGTCAATAGATTAGAAAGACCGTCTTTCAAAAAATCGATAATCTAAATTAAATTAGACTGATTAGTAACGTTTTCACGTTCGAAAATTGTTTACTTTTTGCAATAATTAATGTAAAAGTTTAAAATTCCCCACCGCCGACTCCAGATGACGTTTTAAGTAAGAAGAAAGAAATCACAGACGTTACGCTCGCTCCCGTTTTCTTCTAGTGAATAAGATTCGTAGCATTCTCTCTCTCCAGGAATTTTATTGATTTTTATACGCTCAAATCTGAGTGACGTACTTTGGAGTTCGTGATCTGTAGTTTTAAACTTTATTATTTTTTTTTTGAAAAACTAAGCCTCAGAATCAAAAATTAAAAAATATAGGGTCAATCAATTTGAAAAACTTAATTTCTTTTCTTAAAACTTTCGAATAAGCCAATAAAAAAAAATACTTAACGGCCTTATTGTATCTATGATAACTGATAACCAGTGATAACATTGAGTCCTGTTCCCGAAATATTTGGTCATTTTAATAATGACACAGCTAATGTAGAGTTGTCTACATTAAAAAATCCTGCAGATAAAAGTCTAACAACATATATCTCCAAATGTTACATAAAATAGATTCTTGGATACTCCATAAAAAATATTTTTGATAGAAATAAAGAAAGTTTATAAAATAATTCTTTCATAAATCAATCTTTATTTTCAAAATCATTTAAAATTTCTCTATTTTACCCCACCATAAACAATTTAATTTTTCTACTTTTTAGCGTTAAAAACTACTTAATCCAGTCCTGTGAAGTACTCCTTATTTTGTATTACATTGGATAATAACAAAAAAAAAGTTTAATTTTTTGTCCTTGAAAATTAAAATGAAAAGATCTCAACACACACTACACATTCTATAACACTTTTTCTTAAAACTTAATAAAAGGAGTAATAAATAAGGAATAAGAAACCAATTAATTTTTTTACTAATTGAAATAGACATATAATTAAATCTTTTACATATAATACAAGACATACACATCCCGTTTACTTACTTCTTTATATTATCTTATACCTAACTGATCAACTTGTGTTATTTCTTTTTAGCCAAATAAATCCTAAAACGATGCAACCAAAATTGAGAAGAGAAAAAGATGAGATGAAATAAATCAAATCAAATTAAGGCAGCCTATTTAAAAGGCTCAAATAGTAGCTGTACAAAAGCGTATGTTATTTAGGCGCTTCTATTGTCGCCGATGACAAATCGGTCATTTTCGGGTACTTTGTCGATTTCTTATCAAGTTTGTCTTGGGACCATAAAATCAATTTTAAAAGCGTTGAAATTTTAGGCATAGTCGATTCTTGATGTTCCGTTTTTAAAATAGCTGCATTTACCTCACTGGCAACCTTTTGTCTATGTTGTGGTTGTAATAAATCGCCGAAAGGACTACTCATTGGATCCTCAAAGGCAAGTAACGCTATTGTCCTTTCTAATTCAGATAGGACGGATGGATCTTCTTCACCTGCTTCACTTAAATGAGTCTGAGCGAAAGCTAATGCTTCTTCTACTCTGTTGTTACGGATTAATTCAATTAAATGTAATTGCTAAAAAAAATTATAATGAATTCATTATAGCATTTCTTTAAAAATACTTACTTGTAAATGAAAATACAAATAACGGTCATTATCCAATAATTCAGGATGTAATTGATTAATTAAAGCAGTAGCTTCTTGTATCCTTCCATTCGTAATAGCATCTCTTATTCTAATTCTATCATCCAAAGAATTCAGTTCAACAGATGGGCAAACTCCGGATTCTTGTTGAAATTTTTCAGCGGCTTCTTTAAACCCCTCTAAAACACAACAATTCAATAAATAACCTGTTATTTGTGAGATTGTGAACTTGCAGTGTAAGGTCGCTAGACGTCTTTGTTGTGATGGTCAAGGAGACACTAACCTGTCACCAGATAATTCATAATTAGCTTGTTCATACTTGTCCTGCCTATTTCCTTGTTATCTAGTATTCGCATCCATTCCTCTTTCGTCGGTATTTCGTGTTTATCGGCGTAACTCATCTTCCCGCGTTCCGATGACACGTAAAACGTCAATTTGACAGCAGACACAACAAGGGGTTAGTGACTTTTACAATATTGGAATGGCGTCTTTATACCAACCTAACAAAATTGAATTTTACTAAAACGAAAATATAGTATTTCTTTAATTATAAATAACATGATGTTTATTTATCGAAGTAATTTGGTAATTATTTATTAATTTTTTATAATTAATTTAAATTTGTTTAAAAAATACAAAAATGATAATAAATTTAAAAATTCATTTGTAATATTGGTTGCATATATCGCAGTGGACTTGATTTAAATTTTTTTTACTTTTTATATTTTTTAATGATTAAAATGATTATGGAAGGGATTAATAGTAATACAAGAAATATAACTGGACGCATTATTATTTATTATAATAGTTACACTTTCAATTTATTTTTATACAATAAAAATTGCGATTTTAAAATTAAAAATATGTGCATCTTCATTTTGCAATTGCGCAATTATATTACGTATGGTGAAGGCTGCTACTTGTAGTTATGTATTGTAGTTTTTTTATATAGGTTGTTTTATACATTGTTTAAACATATTCCATTACTATGGCTCTTAAAGTTTAAAATAGAAGCTTGATAGTTTTGTATTAAGAAAGCATCGCTTATTGCCATTTACATGTTTGCATTTGTGCTAGTATACTCTATGTACTGTCTTTTATTGTTCGTTTTTAAATTTGAAATTATCTACGCGTACACTTTTCTCCGGAAAAAAAATTAAAAAGAAAATAATAAATAATATTAATAATTAATAATAATAATACAAGATATATACAGAAATAAGTGCGATAACAACAAACTCAGGCGTTTCGAAATAAAATTAAATCATCAAAACGATAATATAGTACCGATTTTTCTTTTTGAACTATTTACATTAAGTCAATTTGTTTTAATTAATTAATTAATTAAAAAGTAGTACAACTCGCTAGTATCACGGATTTTTCTTTTAATTAATATCATTTCAACATTTTTTCTTATTTCTCGGTATCACCTCGATTAAAATTAATCCGAATACGAAAATTATAAAATTATTCACGAAACTAATCGATAATAACAAAAATAAGGATTATTTAAAAGAATCCTAACAAATAAAGAATCCAACGATGTACTTTAATTATTTCATAATTAAATATTTCAACAAACAAAATCTATATTAATCAATTAAGATTTATTTGTTTTTATTATTTTTCATTTTTATAAATTTTCTTATTATTGAAATCAGACTACGCGTTTTCGCCGCTATTCACATGATCCGAAGGCGCGGCCAACCACTGTCACAACGTTTGGTAATCGTGAAGAATCCCTCCGGGTGTTTGATACAAAGGTTGCGTCATTCCCGGATTTCCTAACGTTGGATAAGGAGCTAATTGAGGTGGAACAACTGGAACATTCGGCGGAACATTCGCGTATGCTGTGTTATTTTTATGATGTGAGGATGGTTCCGTTTCGCTATCTGACCCACTTGAATCCAAATGTTGTTTTTCAGAACTTGTTTGTGACCTAAATTAAAAAAAAAAGAAAAAATATTAGCAACAGTTTTAAAAATTAAGTTTCAAAAATGTTTACTGGCTTTCAAATATGCGGATATCAATTACATTTATAAAAGATAGACGCATCAAATTAACCGTTTATTCAAGAGAATCTTGATGGTATCTGTTATATAAGTCATAATTGTTCGTAGGTAAAAAACTGTTAATGAAAGCAGTTTATCTGCATTTATGAACACGTAGATATGTTACTGTATCTATGTACATGTTGTATAAAGTGGGAAGAGGCCATATGTTCAAATTCTAAAACAGGAGTTACTCGTGATGACCTAATTTAGTAAACACTGACAGCTCCCTATCAAATAAACCTTCAAAGCAAAAGAGTGACATTAATGAGGAGCCAAAGTCGCCTGGACAAAATCCAGATAAAGATCTTACGTTACATCTTTACATTTTCAATGTTGTGGTCTCTCCAAGCAGAATAAAGATCTATTAACGTTCTGCCAGTACTGTGAAAGGTACTAGAGAGGGTTGTGTTAAGTAGAATGCAAGATACTTCTTTTTAATTGGATTTAGAGTCTCGCAAAAAGGGCCTACTCCGAATCTAAATTGGCTCTACTCAACATCTTCAGGAATGGCTGACGACATGGAGGATAAATGTCAATAGAATGAAATGCAAGCACATTACTTTCACATTTAGGAGGGGCAAATGTTCATCAATATATCACAACAACATTCCACTGCGGATGGAAACTCATGTCAGGTACTTAGGAATATATTTGGACAGTCGTCTCACTTTGAGCAAAGAACATATGGATAAAAAGATTGCAGCTGGGAATACTATGTAAAAAAATGTATTGGTATATAAATAAAAAGTTCTGAAAATAAACTTAGAATATACAAGGCCATATTGAGACCAATCCGGAAATATGGTATGAAATTATGCCACTATTTCGCTACAAAAAACTCCGTTATATTTCTCAGGTAGATACCTAATCATGTAATCCATAAAGATTTGCATATGTCAATAGTAAAAGGAGTAATTGCCCACTAAATTCGTTCTAATTAAAAAACAAGGTTAGAAAATTCAACCCAACCCAAAACTAAAAGATGATGGATGCTCGACGTGTCATCAAGATTTTAGCATACGACTTCGAACTCCTTATTATTGAAATACTTCTCCAAACATTTTATCATCTCACTCATTCTGTAACCGCCGTTGCCACAATAATTATGTCATCTGCGTACATAATGGACGAATGTAATCCTCGTCGTCGTTCTTCTACAACTTTAACTCTTCTCGTCGCCTCTTCATATAACTTCTAATTCTGTATATCAATTATCCCTCAATCTCCCTCTTTCTCATCATTAATTCCCATAAATACTATACACCGTTTCAAGCACGATCATCAAATCAATGAAAAGGGCATAAAGCTTTCCATAAAGCTGCCATGCAACTCAATTGTCTGTCTACTAAATGTATCAGAACATATACATTATTAATTGATCCCCCTCGACCACTGATTCTGTAACTAATTTCTCAGGAACTGGATAACTATTCCTTGTATAATGGGATATATTATTTGCATCCCCAATTTAGTCAAAAACCCCTTTCCAAATTTTAACTGTTTCGTTTAAGGCATAAATTTTGGACTTAATCGTGATACTTTCTTTGATTCAGTGTCTTCCTGCGTATATCTTCTCTGATCCCATAATTCCACCTCCTAAATTTGGAAACTCTCTTTACTTTTAAAAAGCCTAATCAAATATTCCATTCACCTTGTTCTGTTGCTGTAATCTGGGCTTCCTATCATCCCCTATCATTGATCCTAGTGATTTTCTTGCTCAACTTACTCTTTCTTCGATGTTTCTTTCATCTCCTTGGTTCGCTCCACTTTTTTGAACTATTTTTCCTACTTCGGTTTATCTTTTCAGAGTCGAAATTAATCATTTTTAACAATCTTTCCAATTCATTTTTAAATTGTGGACATGCTCTATTCCTTGTGTCATGATCAGTAAAGGATGCTATGTCACAAAACCGTATGTGAGGCAGATAGAGATGCAGGCTTAGAGCGGTTCGGTGTTCTGGACTTCCGAACACCGAGGCAAATTTGTAGCATTCTTATGAAAGATAATGTGTATTGGACTGCTGTCAAACAAAATGCCAGATATCCCTGAAACTGTGTTATATGGGTATAGAATTGATAAAATCACCTCGGTCGCAACTGATTTTGACTCATATAAACTTATTTATGTATAATGATGTTAGATAACCCAAGCAGTAGACCCAGCTTTATGCAGATGGTATTGATTCCAACACTCTCTCTCTCTTGACATAGTACATTATCAATTTTATTTTGAGACGGCCATAACGGGTGGTGACACAAATTTGTTTCTAACATTTCAAAATCGCCAATTCCAATTAATATGCAGATTTCATCACTAACTTACTCTATATATATCAACTTATTTTCAAAGCGTTCAAAATTCGTATGCTGATTTCTGATTGGGTTGGGTTGGGTTTCATAATAACGTTACATTTATTTATTGATAATATTAACCAAAACTTGTTTTGTAAATATATCCTTAAATTAAATTAAAAGATTCTTCGTATTTTCTGAAGCCTTTTCTGGTAGAACTGATTCGTGTAACTCGTCGTGTAAGAACTCTTGTACTAACGCAATAAAATTGAAAGTAATTATCGCAAATAACATGTTAAACCTCGTTCTAAATGACGCAACAAACTTCATTAGCACTAACATCACTTATTTCCTTTGCAGTTAAAAACAAATAAATAAGCATTCCTTATCTCTCTGTAATAAATAAAAAAAATAAGTTGTTGACACAACTTTAAATAAAGTAACACGTATTTTGGTTAAAAAAATATGTATATAGACTGGTTTTGATTTTAATTAGTTTTTTTAGGTTAACTCGGTTTCAATTTGCATTAAATGTTTTTCATTTCGTTTCCTTATTTCTTCTAGTTTATCGGTGTGTATCAGAAAAGGTAAAACGTTTACGATTTTCCAAAGAGGGTTTAAAGGAAAAAGAAGCTAACCCATAACGGCCTAGAAACAATCAGCCACAGAACTAAACTAACAGAATTTCCCGCATTACATTTTAATTGTTTCCGTCTCTAAAACGAAACGTTCTTGACGGTTTCTTTTTATCACTCCGCGGATACGCTATGTGATTAAAGCGGCGGCTTCCTTTATTTACTCGCCTTTATTAGCACATCTCGAGCCCCCCATTCCAAATCGGGCAGAAACAAATTAAATCTTCCAACCTTTTTCTTTATTCCAACGCTAAAGATTCCGCATTGTTTTGTCTTTCTTTTTCCATGCCCAGACCGAAAGAAAGAGACCATCTTCGTCGTCATCGCCGTCGTCGCTTTATTGAGCCATTATTCGGTAAGGAAGGCACCGAATAGAAAAGCGACGTTTTCTATTTAATTTACGGTTTTGACCATTTTCGATGCTGATAGAGAGCTCGAAGATGCGGCTCTTTTTTAACCTTTTTTTTTCTTTTGCCACCCGTATCCGGTTACGCGAGCAGCTATTTGCTCGGTTGGAATGTCCAATTTCCTACCGGGATATTATTATTCCGAGGATAATACGAGGGGAAGGGGGAGAAAAAGAGGTCGAGGTAGAGGTCGGCTTAAAGAAGAAATCGGGGTCCCGAACTTAACTAAAAACTTATAATGTGTTGAGAAGACGCCGGGATGGCAAACATCTGGTCGCCACTTGTCGCGTATTTTAAGAGTTTTGAAGGCTTCTTCTTCAAGTTGGCCTGTGGATGTTTGTATTTGTTTTGTCGTTGTTCTTTGTAAAGAAGGAATTCTGCAGAATTTTTTTTGTAGCTTTTTGTTTGCAGAGGTTTAAATTTTTTTTTTTTCAAGAAATATTTGAATCATTCATTTCAATGATATGTATAAGTATTAACACAAAATGATAATAGATTTAAAAAAAGTCTAAAGTAGAGCTTTTAGTGTTCGTTAATAATAATAGGGTAGGAGTTGATTATAACAGAACGTTGGAGGTAATGTTTGAACAGACACTGTTGTTTTGGGTGAAACCTGATCCCTCGAACGCTCTTGTTAGAGGGTTGGTGGTAGCAGTGATGATGGGGGGTAAAAGGGGGCTAAAACAAGAGGTTGGGTTCGTTCATAACCACCATATAAAACTTTAAGGTTTCATCGAACTCCTATCTTAGTCATTATTAACAAATTCTATTTTATAAAAAAAGTTTAAGATCCTCAAAAGATTTACAAAAAGAAAACTTTTAAAACTAAATAAAAACCGGAAATTACCATTTTACGACTGTTCTTCTCGTTACTATGCAATTTACATCCGTAATAACGCTGTGGTTGAGAAGTTGGAGGAGCAATCGAGATACGAGAATCGTTACTGGATAATTCGTCTAGTTAAACACACTAGACTATAACGTCGAGTTGATAGCGTGGTTTTAAGAGGACTGAGGTGGACGAAGAGGTGGAGGAGATGAAGAAGAACGTTCGGTTAATTGCCGCACATAAAACTTGGCAGCGTTAACAAGGAATCGACAGCCGCGTCTTGAATATTCATAAGGGGAAGGCGTGGAACGTGTGGAAGGCGCTGAAGAATGGCCGCCAACACCTTATTAACATACCTCGGAGCGGAACCTCAATTTCGATTTTGCGATAATAACAATAAATTGTTTGAAAAATTAAACAAAAGTAGAGATTAAATGTCTTTTTTTTTCCCCGAAAGATAGGAGATATTTTAAATTTAATTTAACAACTTTCCCAAGATTCTTAAATTAGAGTGTCCAACCCGAAACTAAATAAAGATAGTCTTTAAAGTTCTTTATTATCCTCAAACAGGCTTAAGATATTAAATGCCAGTTTAAATAACACTAGATTTCTTCTTAGAGACAAACTTTATGGTTAAATGTGTTTTTAAAGAACTATAAACGAAAGTCGAACTTAAACCAACCTGAAACCAGAAGGAGATATCATAAAACTCTTAACATTCT